TGACACACACACACACACACACACATCACTGAACAGAAGAAGAGTGACACACACACACACACATCACTGAACAGAAGAAGAGTGACACACACACACACACACACATCACTGAACAGAAGAAGAGTGACACACACACACACACACACACATCACTGAACAGAAGAAGAGTGACACACACACACACACACACATCACTGAACAAAAGAAGAGTGACACACACACACACACACACACATCACTGAACAAAAGAAGAGTGACACACACACACACACACACACACATCACTGAACAGAAGAAGAGTGACACACACACACACACACACACACACACACACATCACTGAACAAAAGAAGAGTGACACACACACATCACTGAACAGAAGAAGAGTGACACACACACATCACTGAACAGAAGGAGAGTGACACACACACACACACACACACACACATCACTGAACAAAAGAAGAGTGACACACACACATCACTGAACAAAAGAAGAGTGACACACACACATCACTGAACAGAAGAAGAGTGACACACACACACATCACTGAACAGAAGAAGAGTGACACACACACACACACACACATCACTGAACAGAAGAAGAGTGACACACACACACACACACACATCACTGAACAGAAGAAGAGTGACACACACACACACACACATCACTGAACAGAAGAAGAGTGACACACACACACACACACACACACACATCACTGAACAGAAGAAGAGTGACACACACACACACACACATCACTGAACAGAAGGAGAGTGACACACACATACACACACACACACACACACACACACACACACATCACTGAACAAAAGAAGAGTGACACACACACACACATCACTGAACAGAAGAAGAGTGACACACACACACACACACACACACACACATCACTGAACAGAAGGAGAGTGACACACACACACACACACACACACACACATCACTGACAGAAGAAGAGTGACACACACACACACACACACACACACACACATACACATCACTGAACAGAAGAAGAGTGACACACACACACACATCACTGAACAGAAGGAGAGTGACACACACACACACACACACACACACACACATACACATCACTGAACAGAAGGAGAGTGACACACACACACACACACACACCTCTGCTTTCTTGCTCTTCTTACTGGGTGTCTTATAGAGAGCGGCTGCGGTGTGTTTACTGGGGGTTTTGGGTTTCTGGACCTCGTGCTCTTCATCTTCTTCATCATCATCTTCAGAGTTAGAGGGTGAGAGGTCACTGTCACTGTCGGACCTCAGGCTTGGAGCTGCAACACAACCACAACACAACATCAATCGATTAATTAAACCTAAATAGCAATTTTTTTAAAATAAAATTATTCATGAATAAAATTATAAAGTTAGAAATAAAAATATATAATGACTAAAATTTGAAACATGAAAACTAAAAACAAAAAGAACATGGTAAAAATTATCTCAAATAAAAATAATGCTGTTGTGAGGTTTATATTTATTGCTTTTCTTTTTATTTTTACCGCTCTTTTGTGTTTTCTGGTTTTATTGTTACTGAGATTCTGGAGTGTTGTGTTCTGGGTAATGAACCTGTGAGTCTCCTCCTCAGCCGGTGTGGAGTCGTGGAGATGAACTGCACCTTCTTTCCCTGAGCAGAACACAGGGTATTAATCTCACACACACACACACACACACACACACTCGCGCACGTAACACCCTGAGACCTGTCGTGAGTTTCACCTTCTGAGGAGTCTTGCTCTGATTGGCTGATTCTGGAGGAACAGAGGAACGAGAGTCAGTCAGTGTGTAAACGGAGAGAGAGTGAGTGTGTGTGTGTGTGTGTGTGAGAGAGAGAGAGAGAGAGAGAGAGAGAGAGAGAGAGAGAGACACAGACTCACTTTTGCCGGTTGACTCGTCGTTTGTGTCTGACGTGCTGAAGCTCACACTCTTCCCAGGTGTACGAGCCAGTTCAGACGCTACACACACACACACACACACACACACACACACACACACACACACACACACACACACACACACACACAATCATCAGTGTTTTGTTGTGTTATTTTATGTTTATTTTGATCATTCACATGTGTATGTGTATCAGTGAGTGAGTGAGTGAGTGAGTGAGTGAGTGAGTGAGTGAGTGTGTGAGTGTGTGTCACTCACCCATCTGAGCCATTTTCTTTCCCCGTTTGATGGTCTGAAACGAGAAGACGGACGATCCGGCAGCGACGACTGCGTCCTCACTCTCATCTGAACAACCAATCAGATGAACACATCATCATCATCATCATCATCATCATCATCATCGTGAGAGTTTCATGACGGGTTTATCAGTGAACGAGCAGCTGACGGTGCCGGAGCGGTCAGTGACGAGTGTGTGTGTGTGTGTGTGTTCACCCTGAGATCTGGCGTACAGAACCTCCACATAGTTCTGCTCTTTAAACAGCTCTTCTTCATCCTCCTCTTCATCAGCAGATCTTCTGCACTTCTGGGGGGTTTTCAAGGTCACGAGTGTCTGAGCGGATCCATCCGCTGCTTTTACATCTGCAGAGACATAATCAAAATCATATTCATAATGCAGACGCTGACTAAATATATACATGCGAGTCTGTGTGTCTGAGTGAGAGTGTGTGTGTGAGGGTCTGTTTGTATGTAAGAGAGTGAGTGTCTGTCTGTCTGTGTGTGTGTGTGTGTGTGTGTGTGTGTGTGTGTGTGTGTGTGTGTGTTGAACATACCATAGTATTACATTCTGATACCACAGTAAGTTACTATTTCGGTAAATATGGTATTAAAATGTTTGTGGTAACTTACTTTATAGTTTTAAAAGTAAGGCAAAAATCTGACGGAGTGTATATAAAGTTAAAGGTAAAACACATGATGAAGTTGTTAATGTAAAATGTAAGAGAAACACTTTTACCTTGCTGTTTCTCTACAATATGATCCAAAACATCTTCATCAGCCACGAACCGAACCTCTAACGGCTGTTTCTGGGTCATCCTGCCGCTCAGACACTAAACCCAGAACTCACACTGTAATATCTGTCACACACAGAAGATTATTAACATTTGTTTTGATAATGACGCTTCATCTTGCAAAAATAAACCTGTTGAAAATCTGTGGTACTGCTGTCGATTCGGCGCCACAGGAACCCACGTGTGACAGGATGATGATCACGTGAGCAGCTCCGGCAAATTAGAATGAGGCTTCATTGTAAACTACAACTCCCACAATTCCAGGGTTGATTAATATGGCATTAAAATCTTAGTTAGGGTGTTTATTTTAGAATTGGAAACAACGGAAAGTTTAAATTCTTCCTTAATTGGAATATGGGATTAAAATAATCAACGGTTGATCTCCTACAATTAATAATAATTGAAAAAGATATTGAGTCAACGGAAATTAATGTGATAAGTTCATTCAAAGGAACGCTGAGAAAAGTAACAGCGATCACGCGAAACAGTGCCTGTTTGTTGCTCATTCAAATGGTTGTTTTATTAAAAAAAGCAGTTGATAATAATCATTCACTCATAATGAAATCCAAATTAATCGTAATCCAAGTGCTTTAAAGCATAATTAGCGTAAATCCAACAAATAAAAATGTGTTTTGCGTCTAAGCTCTAGTAGAATCAGCTTTCATCTCTGCTTCAAATTATAAAGATTCACTGTATTATACGAGATTCCTTCACTCTGATACAGACCTGTAGATTTGACATTCAAATGTCATTGTTCTGACCGGTTTCAATCCAGCCGAGGCGATATTAAATGTCACTGGACTGAAGTGAAAGATTAAAATCACCCTTTCACATACGAATCAGGTTATTATGAAGAAACTTAATGCCAAACTGCGAATATGAAATATAAAAGGGCATTCAGGTTCTGTCATCCAATTCAAAACCACATGCAATCCAACACACAAAAGCAACAGTCAAATATTGTATAAACCACACTAATAAAGTAAACTCATGCCATGGTGATTTTGGAAAGTCAGATTGATCAGTAAACAATACTGGGAGCGCATACATGAGAGCATTTGAAGAGTTCAGATGCAAAAGCCTCTAAGTGCCAGTTGAAATTTTCTTCTAGAATGATCATTTTTATCAAGCGTGTATATTTAAGTTCAGAAATTTCACTTAAATAACAATTAATAGGTAATCTTAATTGTCATTTAAGTGAAATTACTAAACTTAAATATACAAGCTTGATAAAATTGATCATTCTAGAAGAAAATTTCAAATGGCACTTAGAGGCTTTTGCATCTGAACTCTTCATTTGTTCATTTCAAGAACAAAACAGCCTGTGGGCTTTGAACCGAACCGAGCTGCATCATGGGTAAAAAGGCTCGTGTAAACACCAGCTCACTTCTGCATTTGATCCAGTTTCACAGCAGATGCTCAAACTTTGCCTGGAGCTTCTGTGTCTAATTATATGTGCTGCTCTACAAACACAAACACAAATCTGTGACACTGATGACAAATAGAGCCGGAATCGGGCCTGACAACTAGAGTAAACTTCGTTGGGTCGAACTGAGTTAGCTTAGCCATGTGGAAGTTTGAACATTGCATAAGCTTTACATTTAGTGATGGAAAGAAAAATAAAGACTTTGCTGGCATAAATTTAAAATGTTTTGCCTTTTGTCAGGTTGCTAACCTGCTGCTAGCATGAATTAGCATGATTGTTGCATGCTACCATGCACTACTTCCTGAACGTAAGCCAGCTCCTTTGTTTCCTGTCCGCCATTATTGGACAAATTGATTAGTTCAGGTGTGCCTGACCTCAGTAGTCACGGCAACAATAACCAGACACGCCTGAATTAATCAAGCTTGGCCAATAATGGCAGACAGGAAACAAAGGAGCTGGCTTAAGTTCAGGAAGTAGAGCAGCTGTGCATAAACTGTTTAAAGTTTTGACCCTGTAAACATTTCAACGAGACACATCTGCATTTTTACAACTGAATCACACGGAAACAGATCCTTAAAGTGAAAATTCATATTTTATTGGTTCCATACATTAATTTAATCAAGGGCAGAAATTAAGAAAACGAGGTTATTATATCAAACAGGGGCATCTACAAGGTTCAAGGTTTATTTCAATTGCAAGTGCAGACCTTTAGTTCACTTAAACTGATTCAGCTGGTCAGAGAGAGAGAAACGAATCAAAAAATAGTACAAAAATCGAGTTCAAAGGCTTCAGCATTATCGGGTGTGCGAGGAAAACAAACCAACCAGCAACTAGTTAACGGAGTCCAGTGGAACAGTTCGTGTGTGTGTGAAGAAAACACAGAAAACATGTGTTTAAAGCGTCCGGATCTGAAACAAACACAGATTGTGCCCTTGATTTCACACAAATCAAAGAAGGGGAAAGACGAGGTTCATGTGTTTCTCTTTTACACATTAGATCAGAATGGCTTTATGGAACTCTAAGGAGGAATACATCTCAATACAGTTATACAGAACTCTGCTACTACCTTAAATATACAAGCACAAGTACACAAAACTCAACCGAAAGCCCACGCTAAACCACTCTCTTCAAAAATAACACAAACCAATAGAATCTGAGGGCTGAGGTCGATCTTTAAGGACCTTGACGGCTCTGTTACTCCTTGGTTTGCAGCTTTCAACATCGGCAGAAAGAAAAAGAAAAGGCAAATAAAAACATTCTAGGGAAATCGAGGCTGGTATAAAACACGGATACAATTCTCCAAAACGTGTCTGAGTTGAAACGCTCTTCTTCATGCGAACGCTGTCCCTCCACCAATCAGAGAGCAGAACACGGCCAGCTCACGTTTCACTCCCAAATCAACACAAACACACAAAAGAAATGAATGTTGCTGAAAGAGAACTTTTGTTTGCAATTAAACATTATCTCCTGCGAAAACTAATGCAAAGCAACAGAAAAAGATTCATTTAAATCGAACACTAGTTTTGATAACACTTTGCTTAAAGCATTATGATGCGTTATATATAATATTATTTATAATATTTTCAGAATCCTGGTTGTTTTAAGCAACCATAAGTTGCAATACAAAGAATAATTAATGCATTAAAAATACTTTCATATATCTATCTATATATACCTTTAAATAAAATGTGTTCTAATGCATTGTAATATTTTCAGAATCCTGGTTGTTTTAATGCATTATACTTTCTGAAGATGTGACATATATAAGTTGCATAATTAATGCATTAAAAACCCTTTCATACTGCACTATATATGAATGCTTTAAGTAAAGTGTTGATTTAAAATGAATCGGACAGTTTCGGTCACTGCAGTCCAGTGTTATAATGCAAAATTCTAATCATGGTTAATATTAAAAATATGCATATGTCCAACATGCAGAAATGCAGTGATTCTGGGGTGAAACAGGAGCTGGATGTTGGTTGGTCTTGTTGGCGGTTTACGTTCCGTCTTAACTTAATCATGTGATCTATCAGGAGTGTCCTCCCGTAAAACACCAACAAAACCACGAGCCCTGTGCGTCTGATGTCATCTCTGATCCTTCAGGTTCATTTCCTCTGCTGACAGGAAGAGTCGTTCTGCAGGTAGATGAATGAGTCGATCTTCGACCACGCCTCTTTCTTCCCATTGGACGCCGGGTCGGCCCCGCCCCCGCGGGTCTCACTGAGACGCCTGTGAGGTGGGGTTGTCGTTCTTGCCCTCCTGGCTGGACGGGGGCTTGTTGTTCCAGGGGCTGTTAGCGCCAGCGCGGGCGAGTTGTTAAAGCTGTCCTCGTCGTCGATGCCGTTAGCGGCGTCAAACTGCGTGTTCTCGAGCCGCGTGATCAAACGCTCGTCCTCGTCTCCGAACTCGCCGCCCATCAGCGTCGGCTCGCCAACAACCAACCATCCATGAGCAGAGGATCAGAGAACCGGAGGAGTTAGCACTCGGGGGACTAACAGACGACCGCATTATTTATTCATGTTTTTATATCTATATCAAGAATCCTGAAAAGCAATCATACATCATGCTTTCCAACACTGATAATAAACATAAATGCGTGTTGATCATCAGATCCTCATATTAGAGTGATTTGTGAAGGGTCATGTGACACTATAAATGAATGAACTATAAATAAATGATACTTTACTGTAGTGTTGTCACGGTACCAAAATATCAGTATTCGGTACCGATACCAGTTAAAATTCACGGTTCTCGGTACCAATTTCGGTACCAAAGCTTAGTTTAAATTTACATATATTTAAGTGTTTATCACGGTTACAAGTATGGAAACTGTACATTTGTATTATAAACACTTTAGAAAAAGATTAGATAAAATGACCTAAAATAAACAATATTATACACTAACTAACACATTTTTAAAGTTGTTTGTAAAGTTTTAATCCATTATTTATTTAATGCACAATGAATTAAGTGAACAAACATTAACAATCAGGTGTTTGTAATAAATAACATTTTCAAACATTAATTAATGTTGTAAAAATATATTGTTCACTCAATGTGTTGATAACTAAGTAATGTTTATGAATGGTATCTTTGTAGCATTACCATAAAACATGTTTTATTTGACTTGACTGTCCTTTTATTAATCTAAAACTGCATTCATATTTAATTTTAAAAAGGCTTTTTAAACCTGCTGAGTTATAAAGGCAAGAATACGCCTAGAACTGGCACTGACATTAAATGATAATACTAATACCATAGTACTCTGGTGTCGGGTAGATACTACTGTGCTCATGTACTCGTAAAACTACCCCGAAAGCACTTTAGAGGCCGTTCACATGTCGCGCGTGTTTTTTAATTATATTTTTGCGCGTGCTTATTCTTTCCAAAGCGCTTTCTCTCACGCGGCGTCTGTCGTTGCAACGCCAACGAGTTTTTATTAGGAGCGCGCTTGAAGAATCACGCCTATATTTGAAATTGCGAATTTGCATGTAATCGGCCTCTTATGGCAACGTGACATTAGCCTAATCCAAAATATTTACATATGTGGCTCTTTCCTCCTTTCGTTTCAACAAGTGGATTCAGAGAGAGAGAGCCATATCAGCGTTATGAAGAGGACGCAACTGTGCACGTTTCAGACATCGCGTCTAGAACAGAACTGGACGAACCTGGTATTCGGTACCTAGAAAAGCTGGTACCGTAACATTTTTTTTTTTTTAGTACCGACTTGGTACCGAAGTACCGAGTTTTTTGACAACACTACTTTACTGTATATTCACACAGAGAACAGATGATTTACACTGGAGGAATATTACACTGTTTTACTGTATTTTTGCTGTGATGAGCAGAAGAGACGTCTTTTAAAAATAGAGCCAGGCCGATATTAGGCACTCTCTAAAATATCGGTATCGGCAGTTATAATGGCCGATAAATGAATATTTCAAAAATAAAATATAAACGGGCGAATCACGCTTGAGTTGTATAGTTTGTCCACCAGAGGGCACTCTACACCGTCCCTGTTGGCACTGCTGATCCAGCCAGAGTCAGGCAGAGAGAACCAGTTATGCATTATCATATTATTTTAGATAAAACTCATAAATAACTAATGTTAGGGGAAATCTGATAATATTCTGTTGCTCGTTTCTGAAATAAAAAAATAATATCGGCCGATATATCGGATTTTAAAACCAACAAATACTTGTATCGGTATCGGCCTTCAAAATCCTTTATCGGTCGGGCTCTATTTAAAAACATTAAAAATCCTACCGATCCCAAACTTTTGAACAGCAGTGTATATATAAATCACATTTATAAACGTCATATATGTTCTGAATGTGCAGCTCAGCGTGATGATGTCAGAAGACGGCCTCCTGTGACGTGATTGGCCACTCACCGGCACCTGACTGGACAGGGGGAAGCTGTTCGCTGGGCTCTTCTTCTTGCTGTTGCTGTTGTTGTTGGTTCCTCCGCCTGCGCTCATGGTGCTGCCGCCCGACATCTTGCGCTTCCGTCTCTTACTGGGTGCCTGTCTGGCAGGTTCCGCTGCGAGACGACACACACACACACACACACATTAAGGCTGGAATACACTACACAAACAGCAGACATCACACACTACAGGACTGAGGATCATACAGAAACACGTGGCGCATTCTTCTGTGATTTTTCCGTATTTATAAGGATTTCTGTATTTTACGAGCTGGGAGGGAATACTGGAACTAAACTAACAGCAGATTCTGCGTTTCTTCATCTCCTAGTCCCTCAACACCATCACTCAAGCGCGTGATCCATGATCTGGATGTTTTTCCTGATCTTTACCTGATCTCTAGCCTGACTTCATCATACTCATATTCAAGAGAGAATATGAGTCTAAAACCGCTCTATTGGGCTTTGATTATGAGGCGTGTCGTAACCGAACCAGGAAAAAAAAAACAACCTCTGCACTCAATTGGATAGTCGGTAGACCTACAACCAATCAGAGCAACGCAGTAAGTCAACTCCTTTGCATAGCGCAGTTTTCAAATACAGAACGTAGTTTATTTATTTTAGAAGTTAAATAACGAGTGTTGCTTCTTTTACTTACTTCTCTATGAGTGCCACCAAAGGAGAAACCACAACGACCACAGGCTTTTCATTACATCCCATCTTCTTAGCGACCGTCAGAGCCAGCCGATTAGTTACACGTTATCATGTGTGAAGGACGCCAAAAATATCTTTCCGATCTACAAATGCCTTGATTGCAGTTTTCTGTTTGTCTATTAAAATGAATGCGCTGTTGATTTATTTTACAAAAGATGCGATATCGGAATCTATACATCTCAATTCTCCAGCTACAGTCATCTCTGACAAGCGCTCTTTGATAACGTGATGATTACGTCCCTGCAGATCATCTGTCCATCATCGTATAAAGCCCGCCCTGGCAATTTGATTGGCCCGATCATTTTTTGCCTGCTCATAATTACTCCTCAATGGATCGAGTCCAGACCGAACTTCCCGACCAAAAAATGTTTTGGGCGGAGTTCGGGCTGGCATCCAGGCTACCCTGGAAATATTCCCGATCTTTGTGACTTCGCACCCTTGATTTCCATCGTCTGGTCAGCGTATTATGACTGTATTATGTACAGTATTTATCAGCGACGCATCATACACTACATGTGTCCAAACATCAGCTCAAAATATCGAACGTGTTTAGATGTCCTCCGACTGGATGGAGCCTTTTCCCATCATACACTATATGATTTGTGAATTCTGTCAACAGCGAACAATCGTCAACAATTGTGATTCTGTAACGCGGGACGGGACACACACACACACACACACGTTACGGTTCTGAGCGGTTCCTCACCTGGTGGAGCCACCATCCGCTGCCACTTCTGGAACAAACACGTCTTCAGACAGTCCCGGGGACTCAGACTGTACGTCTTGTGCCTGGACATCAGCTCCTGCATGGGCTCCAGGATTACACACAACTGCAACACACACACACACCAAGAGAAGTTACTCTTCTGCTGAATGAAAGCGGATACATACTTCATCAGTGAAAATTGAGCTTTCTGAAGATGTTCTCCCAAGAGGACACATTTAAAACAGTATTTTTGCAGTGCAGTGTGGCCTATATTCTGTAATCTGTGCGGAGGTCAGTTCACTGCAGTGACCGAAATGATTTTTTTTATTAAGGGGCAATGCAATATTAGCCATGAATTGATTTCCAAGGGCCTTTTTACCAAGGCTCTATAAAACATGTCTTTCAAACGTATTAGATGTTATGCATCACCTTTTATGTCAAATTCTAACATTCAAATTGAAATCATTCAATAAATAAAAATATAAAATTATTTCTAACTTTAACTATTTAATTAAAGGATATTTTAAACATGAACCGGTAAAGTTTAAATTGATATTTAGATACATCCAGGTGAAAGTATAGGAGGCCCGTGTTGTGCTCGTACTCTGAGGTAGTTGAGGGTGGAGTTTGACAGGCCGCATCTGGTGATGTTTTTGGACAGCTGATCCAACATCTGCGGGTCTTGTGCCTGAGACGGACGCAAAAGCACACGATCATCAGGTATGGAAACATCAGATATAAAAACAAACATGTAATTCAGA